TATATATATATATATATATATATATATATATATATATATATATATATATATATATATATATATATATATATATATATATTATATAAAACTCATTAAGTATTCTTAAGATAGCCCGAAGTACCGAATCGAAAGTTCGATAATGATATATTATTTTACTTAGGTTCTTGTCAGTTATATACACTAAGCGAAATATTTTGTTTCCCTTAGGTCCTTGTCAAACCACTTTTGCTCTTCAAAGTAGCAGTGAAACCATAAGAGGTCCAGGCTATCCTGGCTCCTATCCAAACAACACCGTGCACTGTTGGCGTATCATCGTTCCAGCGAACAACGTGGTTAAATTTACTATAAATTCGCTGAACATGGAAGTGTGTCACGAATGCAGTTGTGATTCAGTTGAATTATTTGACGGCAACTCCGAATCTTCTAGAAGTCTTGGGAAATTTTGTTCAGGAGGAAGTTTGAAGCGAACTTCTTCTGGTCGATCACTTTTTGTAAAGTTTACTTCAGATGAGTCGAACGTTGGAGATGCCTTCATAGCATCCTATCACATGGTAGCTGAAGGTAAGAATACTGTCGATAAATTAAATTCTGCATCCTACCAAGTGATGGAAAATTACATTCCCATTTCTTTATATGTATATCATAAGCGAAACTTGGCAACGATACCATGTTGGATATCCTTATAGGGGGGACGGGTAATCGGGGAATGAAACTCGGGAATCTTTAAAGGGGGAATATTTAAAGGAGGAATCTTAATTTAGAATAGAACGTAATGCCTGAAGTAATTTTGAGACTGTATATATTTTGAAAACTATGGATCCACAAAAATGTGGCACAAATCGGGGAACGACTTCAAAAAATAATTGTTTTGAAAGGTTGAAAATCATTTATCTGTCAGATGTATCGTGATTTACAGGAAGGCATGCGATAAAACTGAAATTATTTTTAACGATCTTTGGTAATTATTTTACAGACTTTACAGGCCCTTGTCAGTCGATTTCTATTGCCAAAAGTATCAGTGGAACCTTAATAGGTCCGAGCTATCCTGGTCGCTACCCAAACAACAAGGTGTACTGTTGGCGTATCCATGTTCCCTTGAACAATGTGGTTAAACTGACAATTAAGTCGCTGAACATGGAAGTCTGTCCCGGATGCACATGTGATTCAGTTGACGTATTTGATGGTTCCTCAGAATCTTCAAAAAGCCTTGGGAAATTTTGTTCTAGAGGATCGCTGCTAACTTCTTCTGGTCGGTATCTTTTTGTGAAATTCACTTCTGATGCGTCGGGTACTGGAAATGCTTTCACGGCATCCTATTACAAGAAAGAGAAAGGTAAGAATAATATTACTCGATTTCTAGGCTGCCGAAGGCTACCCATTTAAGAGGCTGTCTCCGTAAAAACCTCCAGGTCAGCATGGGGCTCAAAAATAGATTTCTCTCATACTCTAGTATTTTGAAGATCTATCCTTGGGAACAACTAAAATCGATGTCATTGTACTCAAATTTCCTTTAAATTATTTTTGGGGGCGATTGATGTTCGATCGACTGGTAACCAACTTGATACTCCGATTGAAGGCCAAATATCGACATATTTTCAGCGCTATTTTTTAAATCAAATTCATACCTAAATTTCAAAATTTTTGCTCAGAAATATAGACTTATCCTTCTATTTTCGCGGGTGATATGACTTAGACCATTATTCTTTGGTATAAAATAGAAAACAGCGCAGTTATTGACCCTCCTCAACGGATAAAGGATATCGTCTCAAAATATGTCAACTTCGAAAGCTTATTTCAAAATCGTGGCACTTGATTGGCACATGACTTTAACTTTTCTATAAACTACTAACATTAGTCAACACAAATCGCCAATAATATCTTTCTGCTCT